TAATTTTGATAGTTTCGTCATTTTGAAACCTATTATTTTCCCTTCAGTTTTTTATTAATATGTGCCTCTGACTTAATGAAAACCCTAAGACAGACATTATTGAAGCTTTAACCTTTTTTTTTACCACAAAGTAGGCATGGACACATCAGAACTGCGTATAATATAATAATGCAATATATATTATATATGATATTATATATGTATAATATAATGTATAGGCACATATAATGTTTCTATTTGAGGTTTATATGACCACAGGGAAAGCATTTTGTATAAACAAATTGGCAATAAAACATCTCTACAGTCTTTACAGTATACACCAAGTGGAGAATTTTAGCATATGAATTTATTGCAATCCATCACATTTTATATCTAAGCTAGTCCAGTACTCAATTAGTAAAGTCATTTAGTATATTCTTCATGACATGGCTTTTTGAGCAATTAAAACACCATCAAAAACATAAATAGCGTTGTTAATGACAGCTGATACGTTCGTATTTAAAGCTTTCGTTCAGACAGTTTATTCGTGGAGCAGGTGAATGCGTGTTGAATCAGGTTGAGTTCAGAGCGAGGTTGAGTTTGACTGTGGCGTCGGCTCAAATTTCTAATGATTTGGAGGAAGAGATTTTAGTCAAAATTCCCTGAAATGCGCTTTACATATCTGACTGTCAATATAGCCGCACATCACATGGAAGAATGATACTGTCTTTACTGTCTACGTACATACTGTATACAGGTCCTTCTCAAAAAATTAGCATATTGTGATAAAGTTAATTATTTTCCATAATGTAATGATAAAAATTAAACTTTCATATATTTTAGATTCATTGCACACCAACTGAAATATTTCAGGTCTTTTATTGCTTTAATACTGATGATTTTGGGATACAGCTCATGAAAACCCAAAATTCCTGTCTCAAAAAATTTGCATATCATGAAAAGGGTCTTTAAACGAGCTATTAACCTAATCATCTGAATCAACTAATTAACTCTAAACACCTGCAAAAGATTCCTGAGGCTTTTAAAAACTCTCAGCCTGTTTCATTACTCAAAACCGCAATCATGGGTAAGACTGCCGACCTGACTGCTGTCCAGAAGGCCATCATTGACACCCTCAAGCAAGAGGGTAAGACACAGAAAGAAATTTCTGAACAAATAGGCTGTTCCCAGAGTGCTGTATCAAGGCACCTCAGTGGGAAGTCTGTGGGAAGGAAAATGTGTGGCAAAAAACGCTGCACAACGAGAAGAGGTGACCGGACCCTGAGGAAGATTGTGGAGAAGGACCGATTCCAGACCTTGGGGGACCTGCGGAAGCAGTGGACTGAGTCTGGAGTAGAAACATCCAGAGCCACCGTGCACAGGCGTGTGCAGGAAATGGGCTACAGGTGCCGCATTCCCCAGGTCAAGCCACTTTTGAACCAGAAACAGCGGCAGAAGCGCCTGACCTGGGCTACAGAGAAGCAGCACTGGACTGTTGCTCAGTTTTGCGTGTCATTCGTAAATCAAGGTGCCAGAGTCTGGAGGAAGACTGGGGAGAAGGAAATGCCAAAATGCCTGAAGTCCAGTGTCAAGTACCCACAGTCAGTGATGGTCTGGGGTGCCATGTCAACTGCTGGTGTTGGTGCACTGTGTTTTATCAAGGGCAGGGTCAATGCAGCTAGCTATCAGGAGATTTTGGAGCACTTCATGCTTCCATCTGCTGAAAAGCTTTATGGAGATGAAGATTTCATTTTTCAGCACGACCTGGCACCTGCTCACAGTGCCAAAACCACTGGTAAATGGTTTACTGACCATGGTATTACTGTGCTCAATTGGCCTGCCAACTCTCCTGACCTGAACCCCATAGAGAATCTGTGGGATATTGTGAAGAGAAAGTTGAGAGACGCAAGACCCAACACTCTGGATGAGCTTAAGGGTGCTATCGAAGCATCCTGGGCCTCCATAACACCTCAGCAGTGCCACAGGCTGATTGCCTCCATGCCACGCCGCATTGAAGCAGTCATTTCTGCAAAAGGATTCCCGACCAAGTATTGACTATTGAGTGCATAACTGAACATTATTATTTGAAGGTTGACTCTTTTTTTTGTATTAAAAAACACTTCTTTTATTGGTCGGATGAAATATGCTAATTTTTTGAGACAGGAATTTTGGGTTTTCATGAGCTGTATGCCAAAATCATCAGTATTAAAACAATAAAAGACCTGAAATATTTCAGTTGGTGTGCAATGAATCTAAAATATATGAAAGTAAAATTTTTATCATTACATTATGGAAAATAATGAACTTTTTCACAATATGCTAATTTTTTGAGAAGGACCTGTATATTATTCATTCAGCAGAAGCAATTCAGTCACAGGAGAGTAATACAAGTATCATACCAAATTTCAGCTGAGCATTACAACACTGAAGTGTAAGTGCAGAATATTGGACTCTGATGATTTTATTCAAAAATAGTAAGTGCAATATGATTGGCTAGATGGTTAAAATCCGCAGAACTGAAGTTTTCAACTGCTCTTTGAAAATTGCATTGGATTCCACTGTTGGACGAGAGGCTGGAAGTTCATTCTTACACTGAGGGACTGTGAACACTGTACATTTGTAGTATAGCCTTGAATCTCGTTGTCCCAGCTAACAATGCATGTTCTCAGAACTTTAGCTATAATGTTCTGCCAAAGTTCTCTCAAAGTTATGAACCAACGTTCTTTCAGTAACATTAATAGAATGTTAGTTTAAAGTTTTTAACAATGTTCTCAAAACTTGAGCACAAAAACGTAATTTATAGTGTCCCCGAAATAATTTAGTTGGAACTTCGTCTAACATTTTTTTTTTAATGGTACACATGGACAAAATGAACATTCCCATTACTAAGAAAAAAGGTTTTCAAAACATTTAAAAAACTAGACGTTTTTAACATTCAGAGAACATTCAGAAATAAAGTTTTATATAACTTAATGGGAATGTTAGCAGAATATTTGTATTGTGTAATATAATAGCCAACTCGAGTACAAAAGCATACGTGTTTGTCTGAGATCTGAAATGATGAGTTTGCAGCAGAGAGCTGGTCTTCAGAAGCACGATCAACACAGGGGATGTGATTTCACCAAGTACAACATGTTCCTGGATCAACATCTTTGAGGGACAAGTTTACAGTTCATGTCAAGTTTAGGCTTACAACAAGGCTTTCACATTAGTGTTATTCACCTATCATTTCCCTCTGATTTTTGGAGATAAGTTATGGGTAGGGTTAGGACTACATTTTCGTACAGGGATGGAGATCCCCGGATAAACAACACACACTCCTGCTGCCCCCTGCTGGCTGGAACCCAGCTCACACCCCTGCATCTTATCACATAATGCACAGTCCAAGGGCCAAAGGTTCATGCAGATTATGGGAAATGACATCACACAGGAACTCACAATGACCTGGCATTCCTGTAAATGGATATAATCTCTTATATCATAATCTAAGACATTAGATTTTATGAGTCAGTTTTTCAACACTATAGACTTATTCAAAGACATAATGAATCTGAGTGAGCAATGATTTTGCGTTACTGGGTCTGGGTCTCTGATTAGTAAAGTATACACATTATCCCCGGTTTCACAGACAAGCCTTAAGCCTAGTCCCAGACTAAAGTGTTTGAGTTGTGTTAACTATTAAGTAACTTGCACTGACAAATCTTAGAATATGTCAGTGCCATTGTTTTGTCTCAAGATGCAAACCAGTAATGTTTTAAAGGCATGTTTATAAAAGCTACTTAAATGCCCTAATTGAAAATGTTAACCCTGGCTTAAACTAAACCCAGTCTGTGGAACCAGGCCTATGTGTTTTAGCCTAAAAACTGAACACAATATCTTCATCACTCTAAAAAGATTTATTATTGTAATATGGCATTATATTTACAGAATATTTGATGAAAGTATGATACAGCAGAATTGTAATATTGACAGTTTAAAACCAATAAGTCCAACAGTATATCCAACACATTCTCATCCTTTGGCGTCATATAGGTGACGCCATATGACATTTCGACGAAATCTTACGCACATGGCATCCTTTAGCGTCAATATAACACACACTGTTATGGGTAGGTTTAGGTCTGGGGTAGGGTACGTTTATGACGCCTTGGGATCTGCGTCTCATATTGACGCTAAAGGATGACATGTGCGTAAGATTTCGACGAAATGTCCAAAGCGTTGATGCATAAGCAGATAAATAGTATAAGCGCTAAATATATTCACATCTATAAAATATGAAAGACATTTTTTAAAATTGCTTAAAGTCTAAAGTAACTGATAGAAGTCAATTTGAACAATGTTTTCTTGTTGTTACACATCATGCAAAGTGTTTTAGGTTCTTAGTAAAAGCTTGACAAGTAAATGACATTTATAAACGTTTTTTGATGTTAATGTTCTTTCACATAAGTGCAATAAAATATATGCAGTGGCCTATACAAATATTTGAACACTTAAGTCAAACATGCATCAGATAAAACATGAAAACAAATGTATTAAACACAAAAAGCATAGGCCTATGAGATGCAGTTATCTAATGCAATGACATGTTTAGTGTGATTTAAGAGTACAAACACTTTTAGGGCTTAGTGTGTATGTGTAGCCTATAACTAAAACAGTTTTATGGTCATGGCAAACCATAAGTTTAAAGATAAGTTCAGTTCTGCAGTTCACATGAGTTATTGTGGTAGTTCCAAAATAATGAGCTCAATTCACCTCAGGTCTGAAAATCATCTCCCGTTAAGACCCGTTCACACCAAGAATGATAACTATAACGACTACTATATTATGATAACACTCTGTTTATACCAATAGGTTTGTCGTCTGCCGTTTTAAATGCTCAAGCTTGTTTTTATCGTTCATCGAATAAAAATTATTGTGATTCCACCCAAATCGTTTGATTGTTCCGTTATCGTTATAGTATAGTAGTGTGGTGGACTCCACTATTTAGGATGATTTTTAAAACCGCATCCTTATTGTTAACGTTATAGTAATCGTCTTTGTTGTGAACAGGCCTTTAAGCAGATTTTTGCTGTGTTTCGGCTTTAGTACATCATGATCTCTTTGGGCGCATCCTCCGTGGGTTTCTCCTGCTCTTTGCGGCGTGTGTACGCGGCGTGGACGTACAGATACACCATGAGGATGCAGATCATATTGAAGCAGATGTACGGTATCAGAAGGAAAAACCCCACCTTTAGGTTAATTTTTACATCTTTCAACGTCACTTTGGGCGTATCGGCTTTCACCAGCGTCTCGAACATCTGGCCAAGGTAGGTGTTCGCCACATACAGAATCAGCGCCAAGCTGGCCACACATACTAGACAAGAGATAAGACACATACAGGTCTTGAAGTATCATTTAAACCAATTGTTTTAGACATCTAAACATTTTAAAAGTGCTGTAACGTCAATTGAAGAGTTGATTCTGCACTATTTCTGATCAGATACAAGCAAATTTCTTGGTTTGTTTTCTCACCACTAAGTCCACTGCATGTGTATACCCCTATCGGTCCCATGTAGGTCTGATATGGGTTACTGAAGCTGTTATAGAGTGAGACCAGGATACTGCCTACAGACCCCACAAGAGCCAGAGCCAACAGGATGACAACCAGAGCGTGCAGAATAACCTGAGCTCCTGCTACTTTCCCCAGACGATCAAACACTAAGAGAAACACAAAAAGACTATTCTATAGGAGAATAAGAATGCACTAAACATTGATTTGAAATAAAATGACATAACCTTTGACGAACTCCAGTAAGTATAAAATTGTCATGTGATTTATATGGAATTGCATTTCTAATTCCCGAAAATTCCAAAGGTCATCTTGGTCCATAATTTTGAATCTGCAAGCTTTTTATGGTATCATATACATATATCAATCTATCATTATTTACTTGAGCTTAATTTGTCTATTGCTTCTATCTTATATGATTTTAGTTTAGACTTGAAAATGTCAAAATAGCATAATCTAGCATGCAGACATTCAACTGAAGCCTTATTTGAAGCTCACCAGACACTTTTTCTCCAAGTTTGGAAATCCTGGGGCAATTGATTTTGTTTTCTATGCCGTCGAAAAGGCCGATATTGAGTCTGGAGGATCCATTGAACACTTCAGTTTCGCTCGGTGCGCAGGCCATTTCGGCTGAGGCCCAATCCGCCGACATCCCATAACCCAATAAACACACTCCAGCTGCACATATTAAACAACTTGACAAGAAATGCAGTAGTTTCTCCGTGGACGGCATTGTAACTGATGACGTGGTCCTTTTTTCTAGGTCCTTGGCTGAGAATCTCTTTGTCAAGCAGACCCTTTGATTTCTGACGCTTTGTGGCTGGGAAATGGGAGAACTTGGGATGAGGTGAGGTGTTGTTGGGTAATAAATTGTGCTGTATAGGTTGCACTTTGCTTCACAGATCTGAAACCAGTAGCCAGGTGTTTCCTTGTAATGGCAAAGGTTTGGACTAAGGTGGGGAGAGCTGATCACAGATAAGCTCATAATGAAGCTCATCACAAGGAGGGCAATAAAGTCATAAAGTAATCGTCTGTACAGTCACGGACTGCTGCTCGTGTTGTCATGGCATTTATATTGGAGTTCACAACATGATAAAGAGAGTGACGTGGGTTTGATGATCAGAAAGAAAAGATCTAGAAATCATTCTCTGACAGTACAGAAGTCCTGCTTTACTGCTGGTGTAACTAGAGCCATCGTTTAGGACCCTTACAATTGATCACAGGGCACTGGTCTGGGGTGTAACATTTATGATCCTTACAGTAATCGTTAATATGACATTAACGCAGCGATATTCATACATAGAGAGAACAATATTCTTATTGTTTTTAAATAAATATACCTTTTACCTGTTTCAATACTTTATTTGGTGGCTGTTAGTTTTGTAGTGGTGAAAATAAAAACAGTAAAAGAAAAGGAAGAGATATGATATTAAATGCTACACATCCTCATTAGGTAAGAAAACATGTTTATTTTACATAAATGTGTGTATTTCCTGAATTCTATATTTAGATTTACTGTGACGCCTTGTCCAAAGTCCATGTGATATCATATCACCATGGATATTAAAACACACCCACATATAAAACACGCACACACATGCAAGCAGCGATAGTAGGATCAGAAAATGTGTGGAACACAGATATATTATACCAGAACAATACACAACCTGTAAAATTAAATAAAAGTATAGAAAATAATTACACTTTTAACCAGCAGATGGCGCCTGTTTTTGAGTCAATCTGAGAAAACAGCATTGATTCAAATTATGCATAAATTAGATTAACCATTACGCTTATTTATGTTTGAATTATTTTAATTAATTATTCTACTTATTTATTTTAAATAAATTGTTTTTTTTATATTTTACTGTCCTTTGTTCAGTTTTTTTAGGTGCTGATAATGATGATTTAATGCGTTTATTGCACTTAAAACATGCTCTTTATAACTGCTTTGCAAAACAGATGCTGTAAAACTAATATAAAGAAAATAATACTGTAGAATGGTATGAAAGAATGGGCGCACACATCGGGCGGGGCTTATCGGATGTTGATAGATTTAAATAATAATTCTACTATTTCTGCTAGTTCTGCTATTCACTGTGTAGTTTCAGTTAAATATACAGTTTTTTTTTTTCAGTGTAATAATTAAAGTATAAATTACTGTCCAAACAGTCTCTGTTGGTCACGTGGAACCGGTTCTTTTTCTTTGTGCGGAACAGGATGGACCAATCACAGACGATTGTGATATTTGAATGAGTTTTCCCATTTGTCTATCATACACAGATCATTTGAAATAACAGAACACAACGACGGAACAAGAAACAAACGAGCTCAACTGCACATCAATGCCATTGCCAGATGTTAGAGATGAGTATTAGAATCGGAACCAAAGCTAGAGGCTGAAGATCGAATCAAACCTTGATCTTGAACTAGAGAACTAACCAGAAACAGAGTTAAATGTGGAACTAAATTACATAATATATGAATAATAATTTGTTTGCTTAAAGCGTTTTATTGATCTAGAACCCAAACTAAAGTTAGAGACAGAGACGACCTTATTCACATCAGCGCCATCTTTGGTTTTTGGCGGGAATGAAAGCGATGCTGTGATAGATAGACATACATGTTGCACTGCTATTTAATGTTTTTTTTATTGTTCTAATGACGAAACACAAAAATATCTTCCCAAGAAATTTCAGTATACAAAAATCCCAGACAGTTTGAGCTGTGGAAAATTGTAAGTGATCTAGGAGCTTTAGTAAGACTGCATCTGAAATGGTATACTCTCTTGAGTAGGTACTTATTTTAAATAAATATGACTTACTGACTGCTAAACAAATTACGTTCTATATAGTATGAGTGTGTGTAGTATAAATGTAATCTGGACATTCGCCTACATTCGCCATGTTGTCATTATCATGTGACCTACCAGCATCAGCTGTGTTGCTTCACTGCCATTCATAAATCCTCTCCTGTGGCCTCATGGGATAGTAAAGTGTTCATCGTATGCACACTTAAGAATCTCACCTTAAGAACTAGGTCTTCCGGTCACTTTTTGGCTGGATCCCAAATGGCACACTCCAGCCTTGTGGACCTCCTCCGAGTTCACACTTGGTGACGTCAGGAAGTGCCGACCTACGGGGCCTCGAGTCCAGGAGGGCACGCGAGAGTGTATTTTGGGACAGGCTTGATGACATCAGGCCACCGAAAGTCAAACAGCCACAAACTCCTCCCCTCATTTATCTGATTGGGCGTCCACAATGATTCCTGGGTAGGTAACTCGTGTGGAGGGTGTGAAAGTGCGGGCTTCGCCAAAGTACGCACCGAGGGCACAAATGCCGAATGGGACACCCTACCTAAGGACTCGCAATTTAAGGCCACGAGACCGCGAGTCCACATGAAGTTTGCCATTTGGGTTCCAGCCATAGCCTAATCTTTTATGAGTAGCCTACTGTGAATTCAGCCATACTTCTTTTGTCACATAGGCCTTCTGTTTTTCGCCTACTATATAGTAGGGAAGTATGCGATTTTGGATGCAGCCTAAGTCTATCTCTCACAGTTTCGCTTTCATACCTGTCATCATGGCGCTGCTCTGAATAAGGTCTATTAGATTCAGAGCTGTAAACCGTACATAACTAGAACCAGAGCTAGATTACACTTTTTAATGTGTATATCCCCCCTTAAAAACAATCAAACAAACAAAAACAGAACATTACTGCAATTTTAATGGAGTTCAATGGAGGAATTCAGCATTTTGAGCCACTGCGCGCCCCCTAGAGGAAGAACTCAGATCTGCCATAGGAAACACCAGCATTTGATTGTCAGGCTGAGGCTGTGCTTTTTAGAGGCTGTGCTTTTAGACTCACGCATTTCAGAATCGGTCGCTAGGCGGCTCTGAGCACACGGAGAACTCCTGAGAAGCGGGTGAACCCCTGACAGAGGAGTAAATCTGCAGATCAACACAAATCCTCCTGTTTCCTCCAGCAGCAGCAGTCAGCTTTCACCCAGCCGCCCGGCGCGTCCTGCGCTCCCCATTCCCGGATCATAATCATCCGTGCGCTTGAAGAAACTGCCTTCGTGTTGGACTTTACGGTAAGAGGGGTATTTAGTCTGAATCTAACGGCAATGTTAAATTTGGTACATGTGTAGGAATGTTGTTTTTCAGTAGGCTACGCTGGAGCGCGTAAAGGAACTGTGCGCTCCGGTGCGTTTGATACACCCATAAATACTCGCATGCAGGCAGCACTTGAGATTGGTTTGTTTTCTCTAACGTGCTTTGGTGTTCATCTTTATTCATGCATGGTCCATAATGCTCATGATCAACAGAGGATCTCAGGTTATGATGGAGCGCATTGGTTGTGTTGGGAACCCGAGTGATCTGTAGGTTTCTTCGTAATGTGGGTTAGTGGAACAAGCTGTAGGCAAGGAATGAGACAGGAGTTTTGGGAAAGGCTCTTTGGGACTCACTATTCACTTCCACCCCTGCAAAGTGAGCACGCGGAGGAGAGGAATGTCATGCAGGAGCGTAGGTGTCTTTTACAGTAAAGGCACAAGAGACAGAAGTAGAACTAGGTTATCATCATCATCATCTTCATCAGACTTTATTGCAGACTCAAGGTCCAAATTAAAAAAAGAAACAAAAAACAAAAAAAATCAATCCGTTGCAAAAATACAATAATACCAGTGTCTCCACAATTTGGACTGATAACGTAGTACTGACACTTATAGTATTTCATAAGCCCACAATAATCAAATTTTTGGAGTCATTTAGCCAGCAGATACATTTATGTATAAGATTTCGTAACACAGCTTGAAAGTGTTAACTTCTGCACTCACAAACATTTCACTTGCACTATAGGTCTCCTTAACAGAATTCTCATTGCATCTTTATAAGCCTCTGTAAACTTGCTGTTCTATAATTTGAGCACAGATGAGCAGTATGTTCAAATGCTTTAAACAGTTTCACCTGAACAAGAACTAAACTAAACTTGCGTAAAAGTATGTTAGCTTGCATAAACATCATACAAACGCTGCTTTTAAATATCCTCATCGCCTGTCATGTTCTCAGTAAAATGTCCAAGATATTTAGATACGATCACACACGGATTCAGAGTTAGATACAGTTAGCACAGATTCTGAAGAAGTTCATCTCAGTCTGTTTTGCGTCACTCTTGTTGTTGTTGAGATGTGCACGTTGTTCACGTTTTAAGATAAGTATTCACTGACTCATTTACGTTATGACTGTGTTTTAGGGACAGACATTTCACCTGCTCTTTTAATCAGTGGTGGGTCAGCAAGGCCTTCTCTGCTGGCCCAAACACTATCAAAATCACTGACTTGAGCTTTAATATATTTTTTTTTCCATGAATGTGTATTCAATTATTTGGTTTTAAACAAATGTATATTGTGTTCCTGGCATATTGCGGTGCAAAGTATGGCTAATATAATATAAAACAATATCAGATCCGTATAATTTAGTACAAGTCAAAGTCAAACCTACTCAAATGTGTGAGCAAAATAGCATGTTATGGATGCAGTTTGGAATATTTTTTCTCATGGAAGCAACAATCGCTGATGATAAACTCAAATCAAGCGAGTGTATATTGTACTGTAGAGATGGTTAGAACACTGAAGAAGAATCATCTTCTTAAATTTCCTCAAAGATAAAGGCACTTTCTGTCAACATGTGCTATTTTTGTGGATAGATTTATTCAAGTATAAAAGTCTTAACAGATGTTTGATTCCTCCAGAAGTAGTTTGGATCTGTTTATGTCTTCCAGTTGTTTAAAGTATTATTCTGGGTTAAATGCAATTCGAACTCTA